CACAGCATCTAGCGCCAGTCCTTGTTACTTGTGGTTGTCCTTGTCTGTCACTCATCCTTTTGAAGTAGAAGCCAGGAAACTCGGGGGATCTTCTCTTCTCATCTCAGTGACAGTCTACATCCAAATTGGCTTTTGGGCAGGGAGAAGTGGAGACAATTATTCCTTTGACATCAAACATTCAAAAATCCTTAAAAGCATAAGCAGCCTTGATCATGCATAAGTGTATGTGACACTCTTTGATTCAGTGGTTTATTGATCTTCAGACTTCCAAGTCTTAAGTCTGATTACTAAGGAATTTACTTTATTCCCCATTTGTGTGGTACTCAAATGTATAACCCCAAGATTATGAGTGAATGTCAAACATTTTGTTCTGTTATGAAATTAATTGTGTCAAGATGAAATCAGATATGTTTTATGTACTTGAGTGCATTCACAAACTCATAAACTGATCGTCCTGTTGTTTGAGCTCATACACACTCTCTTTAATCTCAAGCAGTGAGAGATTTCTATTGAAGTTAAATCACCTTCTCATGGCCTGGGCTGGGAGTCTTTTTGAGTATTGTATAAGAGGTAATTTACTCTTCAATTAAGTTTGAGGGACTCTGAACTGTCAGCTGTATAATAGGGGCCGCCTTGAGTTACATTGTGTTGACCTAAATGATTAGGTCAACTTTTTTTCTGTGTACACAAACATGCATTCTTCTGCAGATTTCCCAAGCCTCTGCACACTCCGCTGTTTTGCCTTGAGAAAAACCTGACCTTAACTGCTGCTGGTGCTGTGTGTGTGTGTCTTATGCAATTGGCATCATGCCTAGCAGTATGTTGTCCACCAACACTGCCCACTTTGAGTCACAGAACAGACACTTCTTATGCCAGCAATGTGTGGGACACAGCTGTCCCCACACTGATCATATGACCAAACAGCAGGTTGGTCGGTTTGAGAAAACTACAAACATTGCTTTATCACTGTGCTTTGTCTGGAATCCAAATACTCCCACAACTGACCCCCAAAATGGGCTCAAGCTTAGAAATTGGTGTAGGTTTAGTTTATTCTTTGTTTATTATGTATTGCTTTATTTCCATGCCAAATTATGAGCGAATATGAGGATGTGAGTTGTCTGAGTCTTTGTGAGTCTAGGACTGGCTCTCTTTACATTTCCATGTTAATCACCAACTTTCAGTTCACAATGAGTCCAGCAGATGGAGACATTTGCTGTTGTACTGTTTACGGTTGGATGGTAGTAAGGTTTGTACCTGAAGAGAACGATCCATATCTTCATCTCAGTGGATTGATTCTCTGCTAACATAGGCTGTCATCGTTTCCTGGAAACGTTTGTTACGTGAATGCCACCCCTGCTGAAAAAAAAAACACACCATCACAACATTTGTAATAGTTTTATTGGTTATGGTGGGAATTGTACTGTTTTTAATCTGTTCTTATACAGTCTATGGTTTTAATAGAAAATGTGGACCCTGTGGGTATCTACTGGTCGCCTTCTATTGGTGGCTTGTTAAAGCCACTAAATCCTAATGGAATATGTCCCAAAACACACTAGGCCTACAGAAAATCATTTTTTAAATGGTTTTAATGGTTAAAACTTAAAAGTTGATGGTTTGTAATAGGCCTGGGCGATAAAACGGTATCGATATTTATCGACGGTACACCATCGATAACGATATAAAAAAATGTTCGATATAGGCACTATGAGTGCGGCAGACAGCTCACACAAACACGAACACATGCTGAATTGAGTGCTGTGCCTGCCTGTGATGAGGAGATTGTGAACAAAAAAATTGAATATTAGTCGAATTTAAAATAAACATTTGCATTTGAATGCAAAAATGGTACAATGAAATGTTAAGAGTGCGTCATCAGTGGCGCGCGAGATGCGGTGATGATGATGATGTTGTTGCATTTTAATGTTTTGTTAGTCTAGCCCACGAGACGCGCCGCTGCTGTGTTATTCGTTTTATATATTAGAGAAATATAGAAGCTCAATGCGGAGAAGATCTTGAATGGGTTAAAACCGAAACCAAGCCATTCACACAGAACGCATATTCAGCACATTTTTAGACGGACAAATATGACTGCTGCACTCGCGTCTCA